ACCGTAATTATTATGTGCAAAATAATTTGAATCAGTATTTATGATTTTTATTGTGTTCGTTCAAAAATAATACTTATTCTTGAGGTTTAATCTTTCGCTGAAAAATAATAATTACTAATTGAAAATATAAAATTCAATAATATCACCTGCACACAAAAAAAAGTGGTGTTTGCTCTTAACCAGTTCCATTTACCGACATGTATTTCCGAATCTGAAGTCCGGTTGTCTCGTATACCTCCAAAATTTCGAGTAAATGGACTCGTGCCGGTGTAATTATTGTGTTTTAGCGAAAAAATTAAAATAAAGAAATAATCATTTTTTTTAGCGAAAAAAAACTCATACATACATATATGAATTATTATTATTATTATTATTATTATTATTTTAATTTTTAATTTTTCTTTTTGAAATACGAGTATGGCTTTCTTCTAGAACACGAGCTAAGTACAAATAAATACTTACATACATATGTTTAATTGCCTCTTTCATCCGTTCGGTCATTCGTCTCTGTTTCCAATTTACTTATTCTCAATTGTACTCTTCAGGTGCTTCGCTAGATCGACGCAGCGGAAAATTAGTCGAGTCCAAAATGAAAGTGCTCTACGAACAAATGCCGGTTATTTACATCTATGCTATTAATACAACTGCAGGCAAGGACCCAAAACTCTACGAATGTCCTATCTATCGAAAACCGCAACGAACAGATGCCAAATACGTCGGTTCCATTGACTTTGAAACGGATTTCAATCCGAAGCATTGGACTTTGCGCGGCGTGGCATTGCTGTGTGACATTAAATAAACGAAACATTTCATAGTTTTGGCGCTGGAAGAGAGGGCGTTCGCCGGGAACGGGATGGTAATGTTTACAGCCACGTGCTTGCTGTTCTCATTTCATTGTTTACCAGCGCATGCAATGTTTATGGTTTGTAAGTGTGGGTGGTCTTAAAAGACTTACATATATAAATGTATGTGGGTTTTTGTTTATTTATTACCACAAAATACATATGTACAATTAGAAAAGTGAGCATGATTAAAAGTATGTAATAGATATTTTTATTTTTGACTTCTGTAAATTTATGTATCTACGTATGTAAGTACATTGAAAAGAGTTTTGTTGAATAAAAATGGTTTAGGAATGGAAAAGTGATTATTATATCAATACTAATATTTAATAGATTGGCGCTTATACAATTTGTTAGCGTTTGGCCGACCTACCTCTCCGATTTGTGACGGGCGCTCTGATGTTGTCACACAACGGAGGTTTGCCATTGGCTGCCGGGCGACCGCTGTTAGAAATAATCCTTTCTTTTATTTTATTTCGGTTTGTATTTCCGTCAGAAACTGGGCTCGATCCCAGGGCCTGTGCGATGGAAGTGCGCACTTTTGACCACTACACCATAGCGGCCGCCTAGGATTATTATACCGGGTCATATAAAAAGTCTACGCAAATTTTTGACATGGTTGCCACTTGTTGAAAAAATAACCAAACAAAATCTTAAAAAAAAATAACCAAACAGAAAAAAACCAAATTTGTTTTCCACGGATCTATTACAAAAAGCAAAACTTATTACAACAAACAAAAATTCAACAATTTTATTGAGCTTGACGGCGTTTTTTTTAATGAAAATTTTCGAGAAAAACAACATTAATTTACATTTTGGTAGAAGTTATAGCTGTTATTTCGGAAAACAAAAATTACTGAAATACTTGTGCGTTGAATCACATATTTACATTTTATATGTGCATATAAAAAATGTTACTTTAAAAATAGGACTTTTGAAAATCCATTTATTAATTTTTGGCCTTCAGTATGCAATAACACTTTTTGCAAAGAAAAAAATTGCTAATTTCTAATTAAAAAAAAAAACAACCAAATAACCAAATTATAAAAATAAAATAAAAATAACCAAGTTTGGTTGGAAACGACGAACACTGGCAACCGTGAATTTTCGGTAAATTAAAAAAAAATTCTTTTTTGAAAATCAACTTTAATCAAGTACATATTGGCCATTATTTTCTGAGACCTTTTGCCATTTTTCGGGTAACTTCAAAATTCCATCGGTGTAGAACTTCACTGGCTTATCGGCAAACAAATTAGCCAAATGAATTTCAGTGGCTTTCGGTCGGCAAATTTTTTACCATAAAGAGAGTTTTGCAAGGGACGGAAACAAATGTAGGTCAAGTTCCGATCAAAGATCTGTGTGGCCTAGCATTGTCATGGTGGAACACAACTCTTTTCTGTTGATCAATTCTGGTCGCTCTTTTTTGATTGCTTCTTTCGAGTTGTGCCTAGTAGAGCTCATCATGGACAATTTGCTTCCAATCCCACCAAACACTGACCACAACCCTGTTTGCCGTCAATCCAGGCTTTGGAGTCTTTTGCTTCGCTTGCGTCGCTTATTCTGATATTCAATCTATCAGCGCCCGTAATGCTTCGCCGCAGAAATGGTTCGATTTCATTGCCTTTTTAGCAGTGTTTCACTGATATCCAATCGAATTTCTTTTCGTTAATTCATGTGGCACCCAAGCAATGGGCTAATTTGAGTAGCCTGCTCTTTTTAGTGGATTCAAAACTGTCATGTGGTTGATCTTAGTGCATTTGCTATCTCTTGACCGCTTTCATACCGGTCTTGGATTATTTCCACAACTTTTCCGGTGCTTGGCAGGCTAGAGTCAGGTGCATCTTCGACATCAAAATTTTCACAACGCAACCGAGCATAGCACTTCTGGGTCCGGCGTTCACTTACAACATTCTCATCGTACACTGTACAAATTTATTCGCATGTTCTTGCACCATTTTCACCTCTCCTTTTTAAGAAAAAACGCATCACCTGGCGTAAATATTTCTTCAGATATTTCACAAATTTTCAAATCAGTATCAGTATGGATAAGTGTTGCCAGATGTATGCGCCTCAACAGCACATAGTTCCGATTCCATTATTGTGTATCAAACATCTACATTTCTTGTCCATAAGTTAGTCTTTCCAACGAGATCGAATCTAATGGTGATTTCGTTTCTACCAAAAAATGTTGCCCTTGCAGGGTGCAAAATGTACTTGATGTTACACCCAACCCTTTGAAAAGGCATGTTTTTGCCTTTTTGTTCTTGTCCAGCTTACTATTTCTTTATATTATCGTTTCAAGCAACCATCTGACTTTCAGGGCACCCCCTGACAAAGCTTCAAAGGGCAGGAAAGGTGCCTTTTTTGCCTTACAAGAGAGTGACATTTTAAGAAACGAATACAAAATGTTTTCACCCTTTGCCCTTAATTTCGAATCGAACATGAAAAGAGAAAGGAACAATCAAAAGGCGACATTTTTTGGTAGAAACGAAATCACCATAATCTACCCATATTATTAGAAGAAGTGATCATCACAATTATTAAGTGCTTTCTTTGACGCTGAAGACAGGGAGTCTTGCCTTCCTCTTTAGAGGTTTATGGACAACAATGCACCGCTCGTCTGACTAGAAAGTTCTCGCTTAATTCCGCAAAAATCATATTCTATTGAGCAATGAGGGCGAGAGAAGGAGAATTATATTGGGAAGATATTTATTAGATGCGTGAAGCACATATCTAAGTATGTACAATTACGATTATTTTTCAAAAATTATGTTTGTCCAAGTAATGCAAAATCAAGTATGCATAAGTGAAAAGTAGGAGTTGCAGTGGCCAGATTAGCATAATCGAACTTAATAAAAAAAAGCCAACGCCTAATTCAGTTGGTAAGCATTTTATTATAATTTAAAATATTACATTTGATTTAGTTCAATATTTTATGCGTATAAGTATGTGTATATGTAAACAATAAATACATAATTACAATTCACATTATTGGAAGTTATGAAGAATTGGAGTTCATATTTACAGGTATTGATTTCAAAGCCATTTCATTTTAGTTAGTTTTTTTTTGTAAATGTTCATCGCTTAAGCGTTCGCCTGTATAATTTTCTAATAAACATATGTATGTACATATGTATGTAGGTATTTCCAGCAACATTGAGGCCAAACATCATAAATATGTATGTAAGTATGTAGTTTGTATAAATAACACAAAACTAACAATTGTATGAATACAACATTTCAACATTTTGCTAATGATTTCTGGCATTCAATATTTATTTAAATAATTTTTTATTTATTTTTTCCAATTAATTTCCTTAGCTATTAAGTATATAGTATATGTACATATGTATGTAGGCAACGTACAACATTTTATCGGACATAAATTTTACTATTTGTGGGTTCACTTAGTAACTTTTCTAAAATGCTTTTATTTAACTATGTTTTTTTAAAATTAACATTTTTTCTCTTCACTTTTGTACTTTGAAATTTTTGAAGTGGAACAGTTGAACTGCAAAAGTACATATATGTGTGTGCATATGTCCTACAATTAAAGGGGATTAGCATCAGCTATACATAGGACGTTGTGTTTTAGGTGTAGCATTTAAGTTTTTTTTTTTGTTATAAGAGTTTCGTTTGTGTTTTATTTTATTTGGTGATACATACATTTTTTGGTAATGCCCAAAAAGCAAGCATAATAATATTTGTATAAAAGATTTACGTAAATTATACATAATTTTGAACCTTAAAATTACGAGCTGCCATCATAAGTATGTATTAAGTTTAATGTGTTAAAAATATTTCGTTTCGTTTTACATTTTAGTTGGATTTTGTGTTATTTTTAGAAAGTAGTATTTTGATTATCAAATATTAAATGTTTCATTTCATTTTGAAAATAACACCTTACACCACTACTATTTAGTTGATTTATTTACTTTAAAGCAGGTTTTGTTCAGGGAAAATTAAAAAGTCGTGAGTGAAAATCGCTTCCGCCCGCGGAAACTGTGGAATTATGTAAATGCTGGCAATAAAAAACTCATTCTATTTAGTTTCCAATT